CTGCCCAGAGCCTACAGGTTCCAAAGCCAGAGCTCAGCAACCAGGAGCCAAAGAGAATGAGGCAGGAGTGGCACCTCCCACAGTCTCCCTGCACCTGTAGCCGCCAAGGAAGAAGGAGTCCCAGGACCCACCATTAGGCTCAAGTTCCCACGGCACATGCTAGGGAGGTGTGCGCTCTCCCGGGGGCCTCTGTGGGCGGCTTACCGCTTTCTGGAGGGAGTCGATGAGATTCTGCAGGTCGATGTCGTCCCGGTAGGATATGATGTTGTTTTCAAAGAACTCCCGGAACCGGTCTCTCACCCAGTCCTGGAACAAGAAGGCCAGCACGGCCACAGCCAGCTCCAGGAAGAAGATGAATACGATGGCCCCGCAGAACTGCATGGGGAAGGACACGCAGGCCGTCACCAAACGCACAGCACCAGCCTGCCGGCGCTGCTCGATATGCCGTAAGGATCGTGGGCTCTGCACACAAAGGTCCTCCACGCAGGCCTGGGAGCCCCGGGCCATTAGCTGAGTGACGTGTAAAATGGGGGCATGAATCCCGGCCCACAACGTGGCCATCCATCATTGGGATGTAACCCCCCAGGGACCAGTGCCCGTTCACAGTGTTGCCATCAGTCACACAGGGAGCTTAGCGGCTGTGCCATGGCAGACAGATACGGAAACTCCAAAGCACAACACTGTTTTAGGAGACAAGTAGAAAACAGCCATTTCCTTCACTTTTTTAATTAAGACCCAACAGAGGAGGAGTTTGAGCCGATAAGTACAACAAATAATATACACTTTTTTCTCCTCCTATCAGAAATATGTCCTGTCCCATCTGCAACCCCCATGCTATTTCATTTTAACTGCATGGGTTTCCAAACGAATGGCTCCGCATCTAAATATAAACGCTGGCGGCTCTGCCAGGAAATCCAGGATTCTGTACACACACGGCCTGGGGGAGGGAAATGAACTAGCTAAGCCTTACTGCTGCCCATCCACCCCGGTCTGATCCTCATCGGGAAGGGCAAAGGTGAGGAACCGGCACGCAACCCTTTTAGAACTTCAGAGAGAGACTACGGACAAAAAGAAAGAAACTCAAGAAAGAACACAGTGGAGCTGCCGCTGAGCTCCAGTTCCTCTGCGTGGCTGCAACCCAGGGCCCACCCTCTCCTGGGACGGAGCGGCAGGCAGCTGTACTTTTCCTGAATCACCATGTGCACAGCAAGCTGCCACCTCCTCCACTGCTGGACCTGGGCATGGTTCTGAGCCGCCACCCCTCCACCCAAGTGGGCACAGTCTGCCCAGCAGAGCCCAGTCCCCATTCCCAGATGGCACTCACAAACTTGAGCAGGCAGATGTTCTCTCGGAGGGCCCCCACGCAGCCAGCAAAGCCCAGGGTGAACATCACCACGCCCACCAGCAAGACCAGCACCACAGGGTCAATCCCATGCAGCCTCGTCACTTTGGTGAGGTCGGACAGCACACCCTGAAAGAGGCAGAAAACCGGGCAGCCTGGAGGTGGGGTGGAGGGTAGGGTCAGCATGGCTTGATGGATAGGTTGCACCCAGTACTAAGGACAGGAGCCTGCCTGCTGACGCTGCCCTGAAAGCCAGGCCCAGTGTTCCACCTTCCTCAAGGCCCCTCCACCCCTGCCCCCGGCAGACCCAGGCTTCCTTTGCAGCCTGCAGGGCACACTTGGCTGG